CACACACACACACACACACACACACACACACACACACACACACACACACACACACAGACAGACAGAGCGAGGGACACGCTTGAGAAAAGGCACCAGCAGCCTTTAATTCATGTTATTTACTTGTTTAAAATTAATTTTTCTGTCTGAGGCCAGTTGTTAAAAGAGCCACAGCTGGTTTATTCGTATTCAGATGATTTTCACATCTTTTTTTTTCTAGAACCACCGTTAACAAAAAAATCTAAGTTTCCCCAACAATCCACCCATAATTATTGTTGTTTATATACTTATTTTAGCTTTGAGAGGGTAGAGGGAGGCATTATAATAATTTATGACACGCTGAATCTTCAACCACCTCCAACCAAGTGCTGTATAAATAAAATTTGACTGATTGATGTGCAACCCTTCAAACCAGAACTCAACTGTACCTCCTCCTTCACGTTGAGGTTTCAGAACAAACCGGTCCGGTTCTGTCAAAGCCATGGCTACGGTTTTATCACCCTCTGGTCCCTGCAGACAACAACTAAACAATTAAACAATTAAACAAATAAACAAATAAATAAATAAAATAAATAAATAAATAAAATGCATCACATTCATGTCAACTTTTAGAGATTTTTCTCACCAAATCCAGGGTGTAGAGGCCGGCAAACGTCGCCCTGATCTGCTCCACCACCTCGGGCTGGTCTGGGAAAAACCTCTCCAGAACTCCAGGTCTGGCCAGAACCTGTTGGACCTTCTTGGTTCCCACCAGGTGGGTGTGGATATCTGGGCACTTGGCGGCCAGAGAGCGCTCCATCATCAGACGGGCGTCCCAGCACTACAATTAACATTTTATTGGTTAATATAAAGATAAATTTAATAAACACAGTCCCAATGATGTATTTAAATATAAGTAATTTATTAATAATTCTTACAAAAGGAGCATATAGTGTCTAAAAATGATGTAATGAAGACAAGTAATTTCTTTTATTTACAAATTATTAAGCAGTAAATCATTTTTATTCAACTTATTTAAAATAAATGAACTAATCAGCAGCTGTTGAATGAGCAGCCCAGCAGAAAGAATGTCAAAGTAACTTTTTAGTTCCTTATTTATTTTGCATTTAATGGCATTAGCTCATCATTAACCGTTATCTGTTTGTTAAAATGTAATCATTGGTTTAATAATTAATTATTCTCAGGTGTCACATTTTAGGCCCATATTTTTAAAGTGTAC